CTCCTGCTGCGTGTGCTTATTTTCAAAGTCATCAAAAATATTGGCTGTTTTATTTATTTCGTTATCACTTCCTATTATTAGTTAACTTGGTATATGGTGTAGAAGGGAATTTTGTATTACTGGGAGAAACATATAACTGTTTGAAAATATTTTTCTTCATTCCTTATTCATGCTTGTACTCTTCTTTGGACTGGTGCTGACCAACCATGGTATAACAAGGCTGGACAAGAAGGGGAAAGCAACCTAGTGCAAGATCACTCTTCAGTTCCTCCATATAGAATCGGACCCCAAAGGCCACCCAGTCCAACCCCATCATGCAGGAACACACAATCAAAGCATCCCTGACAGATCAAGTCTCTGCTTAAAACCTCCAGAGAAGGATACCATGCTTTGAGGCAGCATATTCCACTGCCAAACAGCTCTCACCATTAGGAAGTTCTTCCTAATGTTTAGGTAAAGGTTTTCCCCTGACATTAAGTCCAGTCGTGTCAGGGCACTGGTGCTCATCTCCACCCCTAGCATATGTGATCACATCATTGTTTAATATCAGCATGTACAAATGATGCTGTGGCCATCAGTTGTAATGGGTTCTTTATACAATCTAAATTATAATTCTAGAGGATTCCTATAAGGTTATTTATCCTGAATGTAATAGGATCAGATGTGTTTATGTGACTAGATTCAGGATGGCATAGCCAGGAATTCTGTTACTGGCATGCATATCCACATTCTGAATTACACGGTTATAGGTCTGGGTTGTTGTAGGTTTTTTGGGCTATATGGCCATGTTCTAGAAGCGTTCTCTCCTGACATTTTGTCTGTATCTATGGCAAGGTTATAGGTCTTTTGTTGCCATGTCTGTGTAACCTGAAGCTACATGTGTGAGTGTCCTTAGTTGGAAAGACAAGGTTCCCCAGCAGCATCTGGCCCAGCTACAATATTGTAGTTGAGGGGGAAATTGATGGAAAACTAGGAAGGTGTGTTTTCCACCAGCTGTGTCACGGTGCACCCAGAGGTTTTCTACCCACATCCCCTCAATAGTGGAATTTGGCAGCGGATGCCAAACTTGAAAACTCCCTTCTGGGGGCAGGAGAAATGTGCAACCCTGCAGGGAGAACATGACACATGAATCTGCATTTGGGGAATTTGGTCACATTCCCCAAATGATCTATAGCTTGGTTCTATCTACATGTAAGTGGAAACTCTGAAGATAAACTGTCTTGAAACTCCTGTATTTTTCAATTTCATCTTCTGGTTCACTTAGCAGTACATCTGGGGGTTACACCAATAGGCAGCCTGAGTCCTATGTATAACAAGATCATGAAATATGATACCAAAGTTCTGAACTGGAGCAAATAACCTTGTCGTGTTTCAGTTTTATCTCACGGATGGGTAGAGATCAGATTGGCTGTAAGAATTTCCTTTTATTGTGCCACTTGTTATTCATGCTAGGTAAAAAAAAAACCTGGCTTCAGAGGTGATACCAGGTATATCTCTTTGCACTGAATGTACTTTGTACAAACCAAATTGGTTTTTGCTTCGAACGACTCTTGTAGAGGAAAATCAATTTCAGGTTACAATAGCTTTGATCTTTCAAGCTAAAGATCCATTGCAAATGTGTTAAGTGGCTAGGATATAAGGCCTTTGCAAAGATGGAATGTGTAAAGCAGGCATTCAGATCAAGGTTTAGCTGTGAATCTATGTAATAAACAGCTACACATCTTGTCAGCACTTCTTAGCACAAGCTCCCAGATGGCTCTTGTATAGCTGTTTGTATCTGGTGGCAGTAGCCTTGGGGATGGTTAAAGACAATGTAAGGTGTTTTTGTTACATGTTGTTTTTGTTTCAAGATATGATCAATCTACAGCTGGTTGATTCTATCCTATCCAGAGTGTTTCAACTGAGTTTGAAAATGTCACTGGCTGGGGGATTCCAGCATTTCCATGTTCTAATGCCTTCAAAAACAGCTTCATTTAAGGATAGTGTGTCTCCTCTGAATGAATGCCTGGAGGAGGTAATGGGCTGGATGTGGAAAAACAAATTGAAACTGAATCCAGACAAAACAGAGGTGCTCGCCATCAAGGATCCTAATCTGGAGATGGGGGTGTCTCAACCAGTTCTGGATGGGGGTTACACTACCTCTGAAAGACTGTGTTTGCAGCTTGGAAGTGCTCCTGGATCTGTCTCTCCAAATGTCAGCCCAGGTAGACATGATGGTCAGGAGTGCTTACTATCCACTTTGGCTGATCTGCCAGCTGCGCTCCTTCCTAGATTTACAGGACCTAAAGATCGTAGTGCATGTGCTGCTAACTGCAAGGTTGAACTTTTGCAATGCACTTTACATTGGGCTACCTTTGAACCAAGTTTGGAAACTCCAGCTGGTTCAAAACACATCAGCCAGATTGGTTACAGTAACATCTAGGAGTGAGCATATTACACTTACCTAAAGTCACTCCACTGGCTGCTAATTAGTTTCCGGGCAAAGTATAAGGTGTTGGTTTTGACCTTTAAAGCCCTACATAGTTTGGGTCCAGGTTACCTAAATGATCACCTTCTCCCATATAATCCACCCCAAATACTGAGGCCCTCTGGGGGGTAGTTACCCAACTAGTCAGAACACGACCAGTGACCATCACCCAGATGACCTTTTCACTGTTTGCTCCAAGACTAGAATGTCCTGCCAGAAGAGCTCTGACAACTAAATGAGCTGTTGGAATTTTAAAAACAACTAAAGACTTATCTCTTCCATCAGGCCTACCCAGTTTTTAAACATGCATTTTAAACATGTGTTCTTTGTTTAATCTGTTTTGTGTATTTTAGTATTTATTTTGTAGAAATACATTTTAATATGTGTATTTGTAGTATTCTTACAATGTGTATGTGTGTTAATCAATTATGTAACCCACCTCAAGCCACCATAATAATAATAATAATAATAATAATAATAATAATAATAATAATGTTACTCAAAAGGACCAATGTGGTGTAGTGGTTGAAATGGGTTTCCATTCATCCATGGAAACCCATTTGTGACTTGTGACACTGAGCTAGGCAAAGGCAAATTCCTTTTGAACATGTCTTGCCAATACACTGTGTTTAATACACTGCTTTACATTACTTGGTGAGCAGTAGAAATGATGTGAAAATGTTGGTTGAGATCATGAATGGAGAGATACAGCATTACATTTGACAAAGGCAGGACTAGGACTCATCTCTTCTTTTCTCTTCTGCAGGACTCACCTTGCTCTTGTGGAGTGCTTATCCAAGGCCATTCAGTAGCAGAAAGAGAGGAAAATAGACTAGCATCTCATTCTTTGTCAGAGGCCCAACATCCATGTCACCACATGGAACCCCCCAAAAGGATTCATGAGAGATCTCAAAGGATGTCTTCACAATTGTAAATCTGTATATAGGGATATAGTCAGACTGCTGCACCTGTTCCCTATCAGCTAGGACAAGATAAACACCATGAGACAGGTGGGTCTTTTTGGAAGGGATTGGGGGTTGTTGCATGAGAAGGAAGGTGGATTTCTCCCTCTGCAATAACCAGGAGGAGGAGGAGGAGAGGTAGAAGAAAGGCAGAACATGGCATATCTTGCTATTAGGATCCTAAACATTTTTCAAAGACATGTAATCATATTCTGCCCTATTAGGAATATACAAAATTAAATAAAATAATTTTTCACTGTGTTGTAGTTGCATTTTAAATCATAACTGAGGATGATAAAAGATATGAGGGTTTTTGGAGAAATAAACCTGATTACATGATATGTGTTGTGTTTGCCATTTCTTCCTTGGAACATTCTGGTTATTTTTCTCATTATTTCACATATGCTTTTGGCCCATAACTCTATTCACATCTCCCTTCAGCTAAACCACCTTATTCCTGGGTTCTGGATCATTAAAATGATTTATCTCCCCAAGTACACTTTAAAGTCAGCATTAGCCTTTCCCCTTATGTTACTGTTTCTGGATGGCTTCCTTCAGGAGCTTGAATGCTACCAAGAGTCATGTCAGAAATATATTCCAAGTGAGAAGGCTGGAGCTGGATATTTTGATGCCCCTGATTTACTCAATATCTACATCCTGAATACTGTACCTGGTAAGCATGTTTATCCTCTCAAATGTAATAACCTCCATTGAAGTACCAGAGTACCATTTTAGCAATGGGAAAAATCAGTATAAGAGGACTTGAACTTTGAACTAAATTCTTCTGGCAGGTCCAACTTGCGTAGACTCGTGGGATCACATATGAATAGTGAGTCAATTCATATAGGAGACCCTTGACATAATTGATCTCTAGTTCAGTGTACAAATGCAGAGACAGGAAGAGGGACTTGCAGGCAAATCTGTAAAATTGCCAACTTTGAAAGAAGTACCTATGCCATATTCTCTTCCCAAGAGCACAGGAGGGTTTTCAAATCTCAGATCAAACTATTTTCTAATTAGCATTAATATAACTTTTAAAACAGCTCATTTAAGCCATAGCCATTCTAAAATGAGCTAAGGAATTTGTCCTTTGTTAATCTTGACTGAAATGAAAACATGGAAACTCCTTCCTCAGTTAAATGTCATTGCCTTGAAGAGACTTAATGTGAAGCTCCTTAGCTTCCCTTGATGCATATATAAACCAAGAACCTGGCCACTTGCAAATCTATCAAAAAGCACTCACTGAAACTCAGTCATAGAAGCTTCAAATGTTTGCTGTATTGTAGGTAAAGCCTCTGCAGGAAACAAAAACAAAACATTTTTGCACAGCAATCTCCTGGATTGTTCAGCGAGTCAAGGAAAATAGATATGGCATTTTGAAATCTAATATATTAAAAAAGTAACTTTATCTAGTTTTGAATGTAGAATAAGGAGTTTAATAAACTCTGCTGTCTGCTGTAAGGTGGGGCCCATTTTCCCATTAGAAAAGTACTCATTTTGCAAGTGCAACACATTGGCTCAAGTTTTTGTAATATGGAAACTGAAAGGCAAGAAAACACCAGGCAGTGGCCTGCAAATAGCAAAATATTTTTTATGATGTATGTGAAAATTTTTCCCAATTCCAAGGTCTTTAAACAGTGAGAGACACATTACAGATATGGAGCATCATCAGGTGGTTTTAGGCTCAGCTGAGACCTCCTTGAAGTGGGAAAAGGAACAGTGTTAATCAGCCTCTCATACAGTCATGACTCAATCTCACATATAGGCTGGATCAGATTAGTGCAACAAAACTAGCATTGGCTAGAGCAATATCAGATTCATTTGTGGCACACAAATACATTTTCTTAAATGACCCAGATAAGTTTTACTGCATTCCAATCTGGATTTGGAGCACTGCTCACACAATCAGATTATGCAGACCCATATGTATTAATGAGTGTTTGATGACAACATTCATTGCTCATTGTATACCATGAATAAGCATAAATATTCCCAGGTCCTACTATAATTTCTTGATCAATATGTTTGCAGGGGTACTTTGTTCTTCCACAACAAGAACAACATAATCAAAGACCTCTGTGGATCAGAGATGAGGGAGAAGAAGAAAGTCTTATACCACAAGGAACAATAACAATACATTGCCTTCTGAAAATTGCTGAAAAACAAACATGGCCATCTCTAGTGTGCAATCTCAGAGGGAGGCAGCTGTAAATTGTGGGAATTCAACAGAAGAGCAGCACAATCTATGCTACAAATTGACAGTCTGGGCTACTTGCCAAAGCTCAGAGGCCACCAGTTTGGGAGTAGTGGTGATTATTAAGTGCAAAGGCTTGCCATTTGTCCTTCTTATAGGGTAGCCCACATGACAACTCTGGGCAGAGTGTGAGATTAGAGAATATGTTACACGCTGGATGTGTGGCTTTGTGCAGAATCGAAATTTGCCCCACCTCTCCAACTATGGTCAGTTCAGGGTTAACACAGATTATTTCTAGTCCCCCTGCCCATCCCAATCTTGAAGGAAACTTTGAACTTTGTGCAGCACACTTGTATAGCTTTCCCTCTCCTCTACATCCATCCAATACATTTGGAATACAATTCCCAGATAGCAATATTTCTCTTTCTCAAACATACATTCTTATACAGTATCTCACACACAACAAGGATCTGGATCCTATGTTAATTCTTATGTGCAATATAGCTTACTCCAGCACCTTTCCGGAAATGTGCTCAGTTAATCAATCAGGAATGCAAGATTCCTTTTCTATCCAATTTTCAACATGACCATTTCTATATTTGTATAATACCCTATCCCACCCTTTCCTGCAAAGAGTTACTCTCCCACTTATTGTTTCTGAAGTTTTTCTACCCACCTTTACTGATACCATGTTGACTGATTTCAGCAGGTGTCCTTCTCAAAAATGAGAAGAGCATCTTCTGTTTTAGCTAACAGATGAAGATCCTTGTGTAATATTATTCTGAGCTGTACAGATGTATGGCCCCATCTGATGTGCTTAATGCTGTGGCTCTCAGAGCCAGCACTTGTGTGCTTTCTTCAACCTAGGCACAGCTGTATGTCCTTATTCTTTGGCTTCTGGCCAACTCTAAGGCAAGTCACACTTTACCCCAAGCATGGACAATAGCCTTGGCAGTTCAAAACAAAGGTCCCTTTTGAGTGAGTTGGCTGGTATATCGACAGTCGTGGTCAGGACATCACCATTTCCCACCGTTGACTCATTGCTGTGCTCTCACAGGGATTAATGACAACTTCTCTCATGTTCTCATTGGTGTCGCCCACCATTTCTGTGTCCAGGCAGTAACGTGTGGCCATGTGTTCAATGTGAGAACCAACTTTATTCCATCGCTTTTGAAAGAGAAAAGAGAAATGCAAAGAGATTAAATTCAGCATGTACCAAATTATGTTGGTGACATGAGCAGTTTTTGAAACATTGCAAACAGAAGTGTTCAGCATCTCATTCTACAATGACATCATTCCCATTGGGGTGGTTCTCTCTAACAACTGCATCATCTCAGCACTGACAAGCTTCAGTGGTGCACTTTTATGAATTGAGAGTCTCTATGTGGACCAGAGGAATAAGGACAGGCTTATGTGAAACAGGAGAAGGTTACATTGGTTCATAGATGAGGAGGAAGTAAGGAAGAGCAGCCTCCATCAATTGGATGACTAAAATCAGCATAATACTAGTAGTGAAACTAGGACCAAGAATAAATGGGATGAAAAGTTTAAAAGATAGGCGTATAAGTAAAGTTCCTCATGGGCACAATTTGAATTCTGATGTTTGAATTCTTAAAATTCCTTGGTAGCTGACAATGACTCTCCTCACTTCTGCAGAGGGATACTTTGTTCAATGTGATGATCTACATCTTTTTGTTCATGATCATGGCATGACCTGAATCATTTTCCTATGATTTCATGCTGTCCACACTGTAGCATGTTTGTATAATCATTGACTAGTGCAAGCATTATCATTTGGTTCTGGTTTTAGTCTGACTAGTTAATCAGATCCCTGATCCACTTTCAGCTAGCCTTGCCAAAACAAAATGAACTAAAATTTTAATAATTCCCCCAAAAGCAAAGATATCTAGAAATTATCAAGTGATCTTTTCATAGAAAGGTTTGTCTCAACCATGCAGTGGTGGTGAGATTATAGGACTAATGAATTATTTCAGCTAATTGACTTTTCTACATCTGGATAAGTTGCCAGAATAGTGGGATGAAATATTTCATTCAGTTTTAGTGGATGAGAGTGTTTTTAGTTGCAAAACCTTTTGAGGAAGAATGACCTCACCTGTTTGCCATCCCCTTCTTTGCAAGGTAAAAGCACTGCCTGGGAACCCGGAAAGAGGGTCTGTATGGACAAGCACAGCTGGTGGTAGCGGACTTGCTGGTTATATGTATACGTCCATTCCTGAAACAGAAGTGTGTACATTAAGCTAATTCAAGGCATCCTTACATTTCTCTTAATGTTACAATCTATTCTCCATTTTCCTGCTGTATTCAACACTTACGTTCCTCCTTTCACTGATGGTGGAAGTGAGATAAAGTGCACCCTGAACCGATTTTTTAGGTCCCCCAGAGCACAAAGTCTCAATTTTGTTTTGTTTTTTTCTATGATTTTTCAATTTTCTCAAGCAGAAATTCTTTTCCCACAAGCTCCAGGTGATACTTTTGACATAATTTTGCCAATATGATTTAAAACACTGGACTAGAACTCAGTTTAAAACCATGCTCAGCTATGAAGCTCATGTGATTATTTTCAATTTTAACTTACTTCGCTGGATTAATCTAGAAAGAAAATGTCAAAAGGAAGAGTCCTGAAAATCTTGGAGGACAGACAGGATTAACGTGTGGGTAACAATGTCCCAAAATGATGATCCAGATAGGGTTTTTTTTTATTTCATTTTAGATTAAACTGTCACTTGAGCCATGCACCAGATAACCATATCCCTATTTATTTGTTGTGCTACTGTAATAAACTGAAATTGAGCAAAGTCCAGTACTTTTAAAATGGCTTCATTATACATGCGGTTTAGCTGGTGAATATCCTGCTCTATCAAAATGCACAGAATTTTAAGCTCTATGAATCATCGGAATTGGCCATGTGAACAGTGCACACAAAGGAAAAAGGTATTTGCTTATTTTTAAAGCTTCTTAAATCCCAAACGGATAGAGGTAATAAGACAGGTTTCTTGAATGGTCTCCACCAACGCAAGACTGAAAGAAAGAGCAAGGGTGAAACAAGGGCATGGTTGAAGGAGCTGCTGTCTTCCATACTGTTAGTAAATGACATCCATGTTGTATAGATTTTCATATTTTTATCTGGGGTGCCATCTGGTTTCCATCTGATTAAATGGCAGAGAAGGGGAGGGCTGTGTTGCTGCCTCTGAAAGGAGCCATTTCAGAGCAGAGGCAGCCGGAGATGAGACTTTACATTTATTTTTCAAATTCATTATGATGCTGAGGAGCAGTGACAGGTGTCACCTTGAATGATGTTATAGCCTTGAAAAATAGTCCCTGGCCCCAACCGTGTTAATGTAACTTGGCTTTTTAGGGATAACAGTTAGCAGATGAAGTGAATTGCTGTTTGAAGCATGAACCCTCCTTGACCTCCACTCTATTTTCACTCTGCATATGGCGTTTCAACACTTACCCCTAAGGATCTAACTTATCTTCTGACAAGGTGTAAGTGGGCTTGTGGCTTCAGTACTTGATTCTTTCCACTGCGCATACAAAAGGTTTCTCAGATCCACCACCATATCTCTGGTGGCAGATTCAGAAACAAGAACAGGAGAATCCAAACCTTTTGCTGTAATAATACTTGTTTAGCCTTAGCTTCCCAAAGGATAGGAAGAGACTTACGGCTGAAACTACTGGTATGCACTGGCTCGGGATGAGCTGAAAATATAAATACAAGCATTCCGCCATATTCTCTGGGCCTAAGGCATAGGACTGCCATAAAAGTGGGGAAAATTGCAATTAAAAAATATTCTGGTTCTTTTATAGTTAAGATGACACTTCTTTTGGAATTCTCTAGGTCCTCCAGTAGAAATCTGTGGTTAATGTCAACCAGAAGCTGACCACGGAATCAATCTCAAAGACCTAAAAATGCTTGAGAAGTGCTATCTCCATGAATCTCTAAGGGCACTTCTACATACCCCAAAAATCTGAACTAAGGTGGGTTTTAGAAACCTACTTTAGTATTGATTTATGTCCCCACTCCCCGCCAAAAACCCAGGCTTTCCCAGAGAGGGTGGCTACATGCTGTCTCAATAACAATTGGGTTGGCATGCAACCATCGTGAAACCTCCCAAAATAACCCCTAAAAGCAAAGTTAAACTTACCTGGCTGCCATTATGTTCCTCCTCTCCCCCCATCCCCCACCCCACTCCCCAGTCTCCTGGCACATCATTTCCCCAGTGGCCAGATAAGTTTATTTTTAGGGGTTATTTTGGGGCTGGGGGGAGGGAATGGGCCCCATCCCAGACCTTCAGGCTCTAGGAGTCCAAAAGGTTTAGGATGGCAAAAGGGGACTCACCCCTGGGTAGTCTCAGGACTACCTGGAAGTGAGTCCCCGCGGGCCCAATACCTGATTAGACCTGGGCCTTTCAGGAAGGCCCGGATCTAATGGGATATTTAATTAATTTGGAATAACTGAGGTTATTCCAAATTAATTTGTTTTTACCGGAGGCATTGTTTGGACACCCCCGATAGAAATCAAGAGAAGTCCTGCATTTTGGGCCTGTCTGAATGGACCCTAGGTCTTCCACGACAACTCAATGATGGAATTGGGACTGACCTTGCAAAATTGTGACAGGTAGAATGTATAGGAAGCTACTTCCTCAGTGAGGGGGAAAAAAGATACCCAGGGCCCTCTGCAACATATTTAAAAAGTAGACTGCCTCTTCCAATGTGGACAGAGGCAATTCAATTTCTTTTGCCAAATTCATCATTTTGTGAGGGGAAATAGTAAAAATCATAGTATGCAACAAGGCTCTACATTATTTTTAACCCTGATTAAGAGGGGGAAAGCCAAAAGGATGCTCTCACAAAGCCCATGTAACTATAGTAAAGGTCCTGGTTCACCCTGCCCTCCACAAACCCCCCACTGTTTTGCATTCTAACCCAGGCATGGGCAAACTTCAGCCCTCCAGGTGTTTTGGACTTCAACTCCCAGAAATTCCTGGGAACACAATTCTCTTATATTTGCTCTTTTTTGTGCTAGAAGAAATACAATTTGCTTGTGGAACACAGAAGAAAGGAACATTTATACAAGAAGGATCTCATTTTCCTTGTATTAATTGCATTTCCCTAGCTTGCCTAATCACTAAATGGCAGACTTTGGGAGTCCAGTTGTGATGCGGACAATGCTGTGTGGAAATGGTCCTTTCCAAAATGCATCTTCTTTCTGTAAATGACACTTTGTGGGCTAAGCAAACAAATTGGTGGGTTTCAGTGATCTTATGTGCTTCTTTTAGCATTTAAGAAAATTCACAGCTTACTCTGGAACTCCCAGGAAACTTTCATGAGACTTCAGTATTTCTGAAGTGTGGGCAGCTGGAACTGAGGTGATCCCATTTTTCCCACACCAAAAACAACTTCTGAAACAGTTTGGTGCTGGAAACATCACCATTTTCTGTCTCCCTCACTTACCAGCATTGGAAAGTGGTACCTTTTTTGGTACCTTTTTTGGGCTGCTGCCACCCCTGCCATAATGGCTAAGCAGGTGTCATTGCTTATGCTGAGATCGCCTCTACTCCCTTCTCATTGATCATATAGCTAGATATCCTGTTTTGACTTCACCAAAAGCAATGTTGCCAGCAATGCTCTTGCAGGAACCTGCTAGGCCGAAGAGGACAGTGAATTGCTGCCCATGCATTGTGAGCTCAAGCATCCATCTAGATGACAAGACAGCTTGGATTGCTTTATTGCTGACATGCAGAGTGCTGACATGTTGAAATCAGGGCAACTCTGGAGCAGAATACTCCTGACATGTCCCGTGAAAGAGGAGGTGCAAAGAGAGAGCCCTTCATAGTAGATCTCAAAACATGAACAGGCTCATATGGGAGAGTAGAGTCTGTTTGAGAGGCAGGCAATGAGGCCACTGGGGGGGAAACCCAGAGATTACATCCCTGTTGTCTGCCTCTTTTTTCCTTGCAGGAGTGTGACAGCCTCACTCTCAGCAAAGACTCATTTCAATCCAGCCTCTGCCGTTTCTGCTGCTACTGACGGTGTGCTCAAGGGTATCCAGGCCTAAGAGGCTTCTGATTTCTTTTCTAAAGCTTGTCAGGTTTCTAGGAACTGCTAATGATTAATGGGTTTATTAAATGAATCCCAGAGTCAGAAATCTATTCCAAGAAGGTTACTGCAAAGTTTAATATCAACGGATGCTCTGTTCTAACAGAAAGCCAATGCACCCGCCAACCAGTGACATCTTCATTAGACAAAACCAGGGCAAAATTACAATCAATTATTTACCCTCAGATGCATTTCTCTGGTGAAGTGCTAAATCAATCAATTCCTTTAGCAAATGAGACATAAACAAGAGTAGATAATGCCAAGCTTCTGACTTGAAGCAACACTGCAGAGACAAGCACATTCAGCCCCAGGAACAGAAGGAGAGGGGGTTTTGACCCACTCCCAATGGATGCTAACTATGAGGTAATAACGTATGCTATTAGAATCATCATTCTCATCATTTATGGAGTGTGGAGCCAAGCCAAGGAAAAGAGATGCCTGAACATGAAAGAGATTAATAAAATGATGCGTTATATGGGATGTTTTTTCTCCATCTCATTCAGAGATGCAGCAGGTAGGGCAGATACACGACTTAATGCACAGAATTTGCTGGTATGAGATGTGATTATTTCAGAACTTGAATAAGTTACTTTGTGGACCTGATATAGTACACCTATATTGCATCGTAGATACAGCTGGATTTATAGCTATTCTGGCTTTCTAGTCCTCAGTTGGCTCAGTGGGTATATTCTAGTCAGGACTAGCAATTGGATTTAAATTTTGGACTACAACTCCCAGAATCTTTTGGCCAGTATTACAACTGGCTGAGGGATTATGGGAGCTCTGGTCCAGCAAACAATGGCAACTATAGATATGAATTTCAAACAATGGCAGCTATAGATATAAGTTTCAAAGAGGATTAGACAAATTCATGGAAGCTAGTTCGATTTATTCTGTTTGTTTTGATGTATATATAAAACCACCAGATCTATATTTTATTTTCTGTTTTTTTCTCAGTATGAAATCAAAGTGGTTTACAATATAAATGAAAACAAAACAACCTGATCAATCTGCAGTATGAAAGTTTAAAAAGCATTAAATAATAATTCCAATCAAAACTTGAATTAAAACCACTCAAACATATTTGACACCTATGATATATGCAGCCCACATATTGCACATGTATTGTAAGTATACTTAAGTTCTTCTAGCTTTTTGGGTAAATATGGCACTTTCTGTATAATTCTTCCCACTGTTGTTTAACATGTAGTGCTTCCCCTTCTCTTCCACTGATTTATCTATGTGTTTAGAAAACATACTAAATGGATTATAGGCATTTTCAGACCAAGGTACAAAAATGAAGAAAGTAAACTCATTAAAATTAAAAAAATCAGGAGGAACTACCTTGAAAATAGTTATTTGTATACTGAATCCTCTTAATAAATTAAGGTTTACTGAAATTTGTTTATCCCTATACTGATTTTTCTAGGTTAAACATATGAGGAAAAGTATACTGTCCTTCAGATTCATGCAGATGTCAAAGAATCACTCATATACAACGCTGGCATAATTTGGAAAATGGCAGGCATCAAACATTGAGACTATTGCCATGACAGAATAACACAGCTGTAGCCCTGACTATTTGCCGGTTAAAATACAGGAGATTTCAATATTGTCACTTTAAAATGATAATTTGGTCTTGTAGAGGAGGACAGCACACCTCTTTCCCCTTCTTTTGTTTTTGTTAAAGTGGCACCTAATTGTTAATCTAGCTCAGAGAATGCTCTCTGATTGACACTGAACATTTTCCCCTTTAGTGATTGAAAAGGGAGGAGGGAATGAGGTCAGGCTCATTAAGCTCCTTCTACTTTAATAGGCAATTTAATATGAAATGAATGCAGAGTACGAACTTAAATATATCACTGCAATTCAGTTCAATTTTTTTTCTCAGCAAGAGAAAGCATAAATAAGTCTGAAAGATGAGAGGAAATTACAATTTTCCTTTTCCTTTTCTCTGGTTGTTGAAGAAGGGTTGCATGCCATAGTAGATTTCATTGTGATTACAAATGGCTCAATTCAGCTTAGAGACGTGAAAAATTATATCTCTTGGCCACATGTTTTGTTGTAATCTAAAGCAAAGCTTCTTAAACTATGGATCATGACCCCATTTGAGGTCCCCTATCTGAATCGGGGGGGGGGGGGGTCACAAAATTGTTTGTCGCTTGCCACCTAGTGGCTATTTTAGACATTTACRTCAATCTAAGGGGGAAAAGGGAAGGCAAGAGGCTACAAACCAAAGCATGCCAGCATGGAATGAAAAATACCAAACATGCTCTACGCCCTGCAGTATGAAATATTTGGCCAAGATTTAATTCTTTATATGAAAATAAACAAGTACATCCATCTCATTAGTATGCAAATTTGCTTTCATTTTAATAAATAGTAAAATTATATGTACAACAAAGAATTGTCCAATAAATGTTTGCTTTGTATGATAAAGTAAAGATAAAGGTTTCTCCTTGATTTTAAGTCTAGTCGAGTTCGATTCTGGGGGTGGTGCTCATCTCCATTTCTAAGCCAAAGAGCTGGTGTTGTCCATAGATGCCTCTTACGTCATGTGGCTGGCATGATTGCATGGAATGCCGTTACCTATTTTATATAGGTAACATATAAAAATTATTGCGGCAAAAGGGGTCATAACTAGAAAAGATTTAAGAAGCCCTGATCTAAGACTAGGGTTCTATTTTTCATTAGAATTGTGTAACTCCCATTATGTAGGCCTTCCCTGCAGAATGGCAGTATCCAAAACAATGTCATGAAAGCACTCCTACCACTTCCAGAGGCTTACGCAAGGAGGTCTGCATTCTCAGAGTGTGTGTGAGATCCACAATGTTCCTCACTGTCAACATTCCTAACTATGAACAGTGGCACTATGGCAAATGCTGACTTGACGTTCCTGTCACGCTATCACACTACATGAAATTTACACTCAAGAAGTGGTTGGAGGAAGTTCAGATCTTTTGGACTCAGACAACAGAACTGAGAATCAGTCTTGACACTGGGCTGTTGTTGGCTTTTCGGGCTGTATGGCCATGTTCTAGAAGCATTCTCTCCTGACATTTCACCTGCATCTATGGCAAGCATCCTCAGAGGTTGTGAGGTCCTACAACAACCCAGTGATTGCAGCCATGAAAGCCTTCGACAATAGTCTTGATATTATTTAAGACTGCAACCCCCCCCCCCCCTCACACACACACAGAATTAGGTGTATTATTACATTATTTGGACTGAAAAGGTCTTCTCAGACAAGCCTAACTGGATTTTGAGATCATTGAGGAAAGGCTTCTGTTCAGTAACATCATGCTGACTGCTCTCACACTTTAGAAACTCTTTTTTTTTTTACAGGAGGTTCATTTTCTGCTCTCCTTCTGCCAGTGGGCAAACTTTTTCTATTCAGAGAGGCTTTTAGGTATTAATTAGTTGTTGCAGAAGGGTTTTTAATACAGCATTTTGTAAACATTTTCTCATTTCATATTTTGAAGTGCTCTTTCATTCCTTTTATTTCGATGTAATTTGTTTTTAATATGATGTTGTGAATAGTACAAGGTAACTAATAAACCCAGCAGAAACCCCCCAAACCAGACCACCTACATTGCTTACACAGGCAAATGGTGGGTCAATGGGGTGCTACTCCAAAAGGGTCTATGAAGTGCTTGTGGAAGAGGTTCTAAATACCACACTTCCACTCAAATAGAGTGAAAACTGCATCCAATTCACTCTGGTCAGGTCTGCCAGCCAATGGACCCGAATCACAGTTCGAACTCTTTAGCTACCAGTTCTCACTTCCTTCTTGGGATTAGGAAAAAACTTGAACTTCTAGGAAAAAGGAGCCAGTGATCCATCATGAAATCAGACACTTTTGTCAACTCCATGAACTTTGCGGAGGAGTAAGTCCCACTGCTCCTTTTTCTTCAGGCAGCCTTTTAGAACTTCAGGCTTTTAAGGAAAAGGCTGTAAGAGGGTACTGTATTGTTTTAAATGCTTTTTGTCTAATAGTGTATGTTTTAAATTGTTTTAGTATAGTTAATAGTTTAATTTGGTTGTAATGTTGATTTTTTGTATATTTTAATTACATTGTAATGATTTTAATTTGTAAGCCAATTTGAGTTTCCATATTCGGGGGAAAGAGGAATATGAATAAAGATGGCGGCGATAATGATAATAAAAGTAGTGTTTTACCAAACTACTAATCCCAGGCTTTTGGCGGAAGTGGACACGGGTCCTAAAGTGGATTATATTATTGTGGCCGCATGGTATAAAACACCCATACTCTGCTGATCCCTGAAGACATTACCTGTGCTGCTGATGCTGGACCTTTGCTTGTGATACAGGGGTTTAACATCACAACCGGAAAGTCTTGTCCTTCTGACTTTTGGGTCTCCAGGCATCTCTGTCTTTGCCGTATCATCCCTGTCTGGTAAAGTGATTCCTCAGGAATTCTAAGCAGAGAGATTAATTTTTAGTTAGCATTCTTCACCAGAAAGAAGCAGTTTTCCATGGAAATCACTGACACAGCAGGGAAGCCTATGTGATATGATGGACAAGTGTGTTAGACCTAGTCTACAGGTAAACTGGATTGTGTTCGCATTTATTCATGAAGCTCCCTGGCTGATCTTGGGGCATTTAGTATTTCTCTGTGCAACTTCCTGGACAGTATTGTTATATATATAAATATATGAGGGCGGATGCATGTGCTGAACAACTTAAAGGAAGGGCAAGAAAAAGTTGTAATTATGCTAGAGAGAACATTTTTTCAAAATGTAGTACTTCTATTTCTAACCAAGATAGGAGTATGGGACCATATAGGGCAGTGGTTTTCAACCTGTGGGTCCCTAGGTGTTTTGGGTGACAACTCCCAGAAATCCCAGGAAGTTTACCAGCTGTTAGGATTTATGGGAGTTGAAGGCCAAAACATCTGGGAACCCACAAGTTGAGAACCCTGATATGGAGGTTTAGAAGAAAAGTCACTTCTTGGTCTGGAGGGAAAGGGATTAAAAATAGGGAAAGCCTATTAATCCAGGAAAATTGGGAAAGTTTGTGTGAAAGTTTCTATTTGTACTGTAAACAGTGCATATTATATAACAACGACTAATACCTAAGTTCTGGATAGACGCTCTCCAGATACCACTTGAAGGTGTGACATTTTAATGACTTTCTCAGCTCCACTCTGCTCTGTATGCTGTCAAAAAGAAAAATATAATTATGCAAAATATAATTAGGACACTGCATCTTGTCGCAATTTGAAATAAGCCTGAAAAATTCCACTCTTGCTTCAGCCAGTTGCAAAATCTATTGATAATTAGATCCAGTTTCTCTTCTACATGCCCCATTTTTTTCACTGGGCCAACACATATTTATACCTTTGTTTGGATCAGGACTATGGGGAAATGGAGTTAATTCTTCCAACCCATGCAGCAGTCCTCCTGCATCCTGGCAATAATGGAATCTTCTGCCCTGGAGGCAGTACAGACTTCATTTGGAGGGTGATTTTCATCAGGTTACAGTGAAAGAGAAAGCAATGTACTACAGATCTAAAATGTTAAGATAGTTTCAACACTAGAAATGCTAATTTCAGACACACACTATTCTTTGTGTCTACTAAATTCCAACAGAGATTCTTTTGCTCATGTTAGGGATTACAAATATCATCCCCTTCAGATAATTGTTGGACTAGAGCTCCCATTTTTTCTATGCTAATTGAGACTGATGGAAACTACAATATCTGGAGGGTGACACATTGCAGTTTTATGGTATTATTGCTCTGCAGATCCAACTTTGAAAATGGGAAAGATACCAGTTCTCCAACTTTTCTGTGACTTCTTTGTTTAGATAAAATACATCTCCTAATGCAGACCGGATGTGTGTATGTGCACATACTGCAACCTAGATAAGAAATCATGCCCATATTGCTGCACACATGGTTCCTACTCCCATCTAGCAATGAGGGGCTACATAAAGAAAGCCACTGAAGACTGCTAAGAATTAAAGAGATGGGCTTGAAACTGGATTTAGAACTAAATTCCCTCCCTCCAAACAGATGGTGTTCATACTGAATGCTTGATCAGGGAGATATGTGCACATCCAGCTGGACTGAGACAATAAAACTTTATAATGTATTCTTATACATGGTATAAAGTAGCTTATCCAGTGTACAACAAATGTCCCTATACTAACAGGCTAGAAGTGGTAACCATGACAAAGCCTCTAAGTCTGGGAAGTAAGCTTTTGGACTACAACTCCCTAGCCATTCTGATTAACTAGAATCTATCTTCCCAAGTGTCTGCAAAGCATATTGCAGATCTGGCTTTTGTATCACCTAAGGCATTCACATCATTTTAAATACAACTCTTGGTAAAGGAAATAAGCAGTGTTCAAAGTGACAGGAACAAGAAGAGAAGGAAGGAAGGGGTAAAATGAAAGGTAGAAAGTGGAATACATTATCCCTGACTTGTTATGGCAAGGTTATGACACAACTGTGCTCCTCCAGGGCAAATATGAAAATAAGACTTTAGATTGGCTGCCCTTTTTTTTGCAACCCTTATTTGTTTCTTTGCCCTGGGGCAGCATTTATTCACACAGCTAGCTCATTAGTAAGGATAGCAGATTCTGCTTTTCTTGGCCCCAATAGGACAGCTATTAAAAGAAGAAACAACCTTGGATTTGATCTGGGACACTTTCCAGGAAGAGATAAGAGGAGGACATTATCTCTTTTGTTTTCATCTGCAAACAAACCCATCTTTCTGATGAGATAAGCCAAAGTGTGTGCTTTATATAAGATTATAAGATAGCACATATATATCTATATGCTAGAATTTTTATACCCATATACATGCAGCATCTGTTTACTATTAACATCTAATTAACTGTTCCCAGAGATAGAAAATGCAGGCATCCCAACAGCTGGACGACGTTCCTATAAAATTGTAATGAGGTTCCATGATATTGAACAATTGAGTCTCCCGCTTTGCATTTTCCTTCACCGCCAGAGGGGGACACTTACTCTCCATATGGCCTCCCTTGAGCCGCAGGCCGGGCAGCGTAATAGTACTGCTTATATTCATCCATCCACACTTCAGCTGTGCGCTTGGTGTTTCTAAGGAGAGACGTTAAAAAATGAGGGTGAAACCCAAGAAGCACGCATGAAAGAGCTTTAATTGGATGCCTCTGATAAAAGCCTGTAGGGAGAAGGAGGGGGTGAGTCCTTCTCCTCCCATCCCCATTGCTAACACCTCCAGGCCTTTTCCCTTGGGCATTTAGGTGATGAAAAGAGATGAACAGATGAGCTGATTTTTTCCCCCATCAGGAGATAACTTATTTCAGGGAGGCAAGCAAGAGTCTGCAATCATGTTCAGGTTTTTGAAGGCTGTTTCACATATAGTGGCTGGCATCTTGCTGGGACCATATATCTAAAGGATTTGGGGCAGCTTACAATAAAATCACAATAAATAATAAAACAAATTTTAAACATTAAAAGTATCTTTAGTATCAATTAAAACTAGATCATTTAACATTTATTTAAGCTATTTTAAACAATGCAACCATAGAGCATTTGCAGACTGAATAAATAAATACATGAAAATTTCCATCATGCATGTGTCCTTTTGGGGGGTGCTACAGGGCTTGGTATAGCCTTCTAACTGCATCCAAAGCTCCCAACCACCACCACCAATGCCATGTCTTGCTTGGTAAAGAGTTGGAGAAAATGGCTACATGAGTGCTAAGACCCATTGGGGTCCTCCAGAGTCCTTCAGTCAATATGGCCAGTGGCCCAGACTCAATTTGAGTCTGAGTTGATGTTTTATATGTGCATGTGTTTTATTTTATTGTATTTTATATTTTGCTCACTCTTCTGTTTTGTTTTTAGGCACTTTGTGCTCTCTGTAAGCCACCCTGAGTTCCTTTGGGGAGATGGTGGTGGGATATAAGAATAAAGTTGTTGTTGTTGTTTGAACTTACAGTTCAAAAAGTAACATTCCCATGATTCAGTTACAGATCTAGACTGACTGCCACATAATGAGCCTCACAAATTCTTCTACTTTGATGCTAAAAAGGGAGTATTTTTTCTCTTTAGATGGAAAAATGGTTAAGCAATGGGTCATCTACTTTGGGATCAAGTAACATGGCTTTCTTGGCTGAAAGCAATACTCATTCAATTCAGTACAAGAAGTGCAGACTTTCACAGAATTTGTTTTAATTTCATGTGTGGAGAAAGTATGGGGCCACGGTAGCACAGCAATTAAACTGCTACAGGAAATCTGCTGTCCGGAGGGTTAGCAGTTTGAAGCCGTGAGTTGGGGTGAGCTCCTGGCTGTCAACCCTTGCTTCTGCTACCTAGCAGTTTGAAAGCATGTAATGCAAGTAGATGAATAGGTACCACCTCGACGGGGAAGTAAAAGGGTGCCCCATGCAGACATGTCAGCAATGATCAGAGAAAGTCTATGGACAACAGGCTCCTCGGCATGGAAAAATGGAACAAGAGCACCTCCCCATGGCTGGAGTTGAGCATCACCTCAAGACGCTGGAGAGGGAAAGGGGAAGGCCTTTACCTCTGTCTGTGTATTATGTGTCATAGTTCACTGTGTAAATGCATTGAATGTTTGTCTTATATATGTAAACTGTAATCCACTGAGTCTCTCAGTGGAAATAAAGATGAATATAAAGAAAGTGTATTATTATTAAAGTGAAGAAGGCCTACTTGATATAAGTATTGGCGTTTCCTTCTGGGAAGATGTAGGGATGTTTCTTCCGGAAGACATGCCCAACCCGACTGCAAGGGATGATTTCTAAGCTTCCACCGCACATCCACACTCGGAAGGAGATTTCTGTAAGACAGAATCAGCTTCAGGTTTTTTTTTCTTTTCAAAAGTCCTGCAGCAGATTAGTCACTGCCTTTATCCACCGCAACCCTTGTGTAGCACCAAGTTTTGCTCCAGGAGCATTTTGATTGCTTTTAGCCTTTAATGGTTTCCACGACTGAGATGATTGCTCTTTCTTCTCAATTTTATTCTTTGAATGCATTTTAAAGATTTGCTGTGCACTGCCTTGGAAAGCCCTGCTAGAGCTGAAGGGTAGTCTATAAATATTTCAGCCAATCAATCCATTCCCGAAGCAACATTTTAAAAATTTGAGTGGACCCTGATGCAGTTCCCATTTGCAAGTCTCCTGTCTCAGAGAGTTTAAGATGTAAGTCTTTAAAATTTCATAAGATTTCATAAACTGAAAATGATAAAAGAATTCCTATTCTGCAAGAGAGATAAAAGATAAGAAAATATTTATTACCAAATTGATAAAGGTTGTTGGTGGTTTTCACCCAAGGTTGGGGAGAGAGTTTGGGGGTGTGTACTGAATTCACTCAGTTGAGTTAACTGATTGAGAAATCAATATGTTTGCCTCGCCAAACCAAGCTTTCCTGGTCAGTCTACCTTTTTTATAGTGGCTGCATGAGTACTGCCAAAGGAAATAGGATATATGTCACAGAGGCAGCAGTGTTTAGGATCTGAGCACTGGGGCCAGCCAGTGCTGGTACTGTAAGTTTTTTTTTCCATGTCAGAAGTGACTTGAGAAATTGCAAGTTGCTTCTGGTGTGAGAGAATTGGCTGTCTGCAAGGACATTGCCCAGGGGACGCCAGGATGTTTTGCTGTTTTACCAACCTTTTGGGAGGCTTCTCTCATGTCCCCGTATGGGGAGCAGGAGCTGACAGAGGGAGCTCACCCGCACTCTCCCCGGATGCATGTATGCCAGTCAGGGACTATCAACTCTGATGCTAAGTCTATCTTTGAGTTCCTTCAAACTCTGATTATGCTTCTGTTGATAGGATAAAAATAGCCACATAGATCCTAAAATTGTTCTTATGCTGATTGCCCAACAACTGTAATAGTTAAACTTTATCGCTAACCTATTACCATGTAGGCTATTTGACGATTTTACTGTTTTAAAGTGAACATTTTATTTATTTATTTATTTATTTATTTACTATATTTATACCCTGCCCTTCTCACCCGAAAGGGGACTCAGGGTGGCTTAAAAACTACAGCAAAAATTCAATGCCGCATCGTGCACATAACAATAAACATATTATATAAAATTATAAAACAGCTAAAAATATAAACCATTAAAACATATAAAACAGTAATACAGATTAAAAACATACAAAGTGCTGAATCAAGATTTCCAAACTTCTTAGTTTTCTCATAGCTGTTATTCAGACTGCTAGATTAAAATGATATAGCAGCTAAAGCTCTCCCTCCTGAACCCTCCCTGATTGACACAACCTAAATCCCTGATATAATATGATCTTATGGGTTGCTATCATGAGGTAAGGTAGTATAAAGTGCTATTGTGAGAAAATATAAAGTTAAGGGTACAAGGTGCCAAGATTTTTTAAAGCAGTTAATCATAGAGTGAAAGGGTGTCAATATTTAGATCTTAAATATACTGAGAGTTAATCATCAATTACCAAATTCCATTCGAAATCAAAACAGTGAAAAAAAGAACCCAATCAGCTTGCTGAAGATGTTCAGGCCTCTTCTACGACAGTCCTGCCAAGCCTTGTGGCCTCAATTTTTTTAGCTGCACTTTCCTAGAGATGGTTAGTCACTTCCATCTGGAAATGACCTGGGGTCGCAGTCCTATTCACGAGGAGCCCCAAAGCCAGGAGCAGGAGAGCTTGCTGGGGATGTTCTGGCCTCTTCTGTAGCAGCTATAGCAGCAGATTCCTCCAGCCCTACCAAGCCTTGCTATTCTTTTCAAAACAAGAAATGGTCCAAAACCACGTAAGCCTATGTTGATATCCTTTTACATTAACCTACATTACAGGGAGCAATTCACTATCCCCTCATAAAGACTGAAATTGTTTATCAAATTTAAAGTGAACGAACTGAAGTTATTCTTTTCAAACCAAGAAATGGTCTAGAATCAAGTTAGCCTATATGGAGAACTTTTTTTATTTATAATACCACATGCATTTCAGTGAGCAATAAATAATAATAATAATAATAATAATAATAATAACAACAACAACAACAAACTTTATTTATACCCCACCTCCATCTCCCCAGAGGGGACTCAGGGCGGCTAACATTAGTCCAAGCCCGAAGATACAATACAGCAAAATAAAAAAAAATACAAAGCAACAAAAATTACAACTCAATAAAATAATTAAATAAACAAGATAAAATAAACAGTGCAAAACAACATAATACAAGTCAAATACAATGGGCGGGCGAAATGCACAATTCACTATCAAATGTGACAGAGTTATCACATTTACCCGAATTTTCCAATTATGGTATCTATCTCAAAAATTGTATTTTAAATTTAAAAGATAAGATCATAAAAATAAACATAGTGTAAATTGTGTGGGTGTGTGTTTATATCTATAACCATGAATTAATGAGAAAACAGGATAGAACTGACCTATGCATCTGCACATGTAAAACTGAAATTAATCAGAAAAAGTATTTTTTTTCCTCAGTTACTACCATGGATATGGGGACGACTGCTCTATAGACATTCCCAGTTCTTAGTAAAAGCAGTAAAAAGAGAGTAAAAATATTCATATCTGCCAATACTACATATAAAGACTGCCTGGAACTATCCAGGCAGCATATCATTAAGAGAAAAGGCAAAAATGGACTTTGGAAAGAAGGTCCCTGTGTGAAATAGCACTCACAATCTTCAACATAACTTTGTAGCATGGCCAATTGTGTATTGCCAAAGATTAAGAAGAAGCAGAGGAGTAGAAAAAGTAAACAAGAAGACTGTCAGAGGGTGATTTTCAGAGACTTCTTCCCATTGCCAGACCAAAACAGAAGTACATTTGGTGAACTAGGACTTAGAGCCACCTTGAGATTTATACAGTTCCTTCTTTCCTTTCCACCGTATCCCAGTTCTGTCCCTGTATGCTACCGAGTACTGTACACTTAGTTCTCTCTTATTTTGAGTCTGACTACTGAACCAGAATTCATAGGCTTGACTAATTCAACTTTATACTGCCAGGATTTATGTATTTCAGTCTACTTAATGGCAGATTTTAGTTTCAGGATGAAATGAAGTCTCAGGGGACAAGACATGTTCAGTGAGAAGGACAGGGCCAAGCCATTTGACAATAGTTCTGTGCATCCGAAGAAGGGAAGATACACACATCTGCACATCATGACAAAAGGCTTCAAGGAGGGGGTGGAACAACAGTGTCAGGCAACAGAGGGGATTACTGCAAAACAGCAGCATCTGTTTCTATGGATCACTGACAAAGCTGCTGCATCTGTGAAGAGGCAGGATTATTTTTCCTTGCTAGCCATACTCCCTGGAGGTGTTGAAGTATTAAAGCTAGCTTAAGATCTGTCTCCCTGGCATCCCAGTGCCTCCTTTGCTCTTTCAAGACTGCAGTTGCCTTTTTCTGATCTGTGGAAACCTAGCAGCCACAAACAATGACACGACAACTGTCCATAGCTTTGTGGCATAAGAAGAGATAATATTTCTCCTTCAACCTCCCCAACGACACTCCCGAAAACGTCTCAAGCTCAAGACCAAAATGGGGAGAGATATCATTTTGAATGACAATATCCAGAATTCTTAGGCAGATAAGGGTTTCTGGGAGTTGTAGTCCAAAATGTAACTTTTCTATACTCCTTCTTGTTTCCTCTTTTTATGTTTGCATTAGCCATGATACGACAAGTTCAACTGTAATCAGTTGGAGGTAGCCAACTATAATCCACAAAGGATCTGGGATCATGGAATGATATGGTGCCTTTAGTTTTATCTGTATTGACTTTTTCAGAAGTCTTTAGAGTTTCAAAACCCTGGCAATATATATAGAAGATATAAAGAACTGAAACTGAAATAAGTAAAATTTCCAAGCTCAGGTTTAGGTTTGAGTTTTTTTCTGTGTCAGGAGCTACTTGAGAAATTGCAAGTTGCTTCTGCTGTGAGAGAATGGGCCGTCTGCAAGGACATTGCCCAGGGAATGCCTGGATGTTTTACCATCCTGTTGGTGACTTCTCACATGTCCCTGTGTGAGTTACTGGAGCTGACAGATGGGAGCTCACCCCACTCCCAGGATTAGAAATACGGACCTTTCGCTCAGCAGTTCTGCCTGCACAAGGGTTTAACCCTTATTATACTCTGGTAACTGGAATAGTCTGTTCCAAAGATACAAGTAAATGTCCTAAGTCTAGTACAGAAGAATGACAATGCAAGACCTTCTGAAGCTGGTTCACACAGGAGGTATAATCCTAATGTAGCAAGAGAGCAGACAGATGGGCGGCTATATTTTACTCTTGGAAGACCATGCACACAGGGTCACCTACAAAGATCTGCTTTTGTCTAGATTTAATGCATTTAAAACCACTTGAAAGATTTCCCTGCAGCTAAGGCAGTTAAAACCAAACAGAAAATATTCTCACAGAGTGCAAGACAAAGTACAACAGATGTTAAAATTGCACCCCTGTAATAGGCTCTCTCATGACTGTCATAAAATCTTCCCCCAGAAGCAGAGCCAATTCTCCCTCTATCTGGTGACATGTTAGTAAAGTACGCTGCACTAATTAGTGATGTCCCATAGGAAGCCTCCACCAGACCTTTAGAATTAGCTTTGATACGGCCCATTTCTTTCTTTCAAAATGCCTCTAGTATCTGCTGTTGCGGCAGATCTGTGCACATGCCATTGTCTTCACTCTGAGACTGGTTTTTTCTTGCCAAGAGATGTGCCTTTTTGTCATAACAAGTAGTGGGACATAGCTGACGGAATCAAAACATAGGATGATAAAATATTTGTCTATGTAATATGAAAGAAAGGTTGGCATTGGCAAAGGAAGCCTTCAGATTATTGACAGTGCCCTTAATAAAGCCATTGAAAGAGTTCTTGTTTGCTGAGATTTCTGGCAAATAATAACTGGGATTTTTGAGTGATGGATTTCTCAAACTACTGAGAAAAAGTTGTTTCTTCGGCTCTTAAACCTTTAACATTTCTCATTACTGTTGAATGACAATGGCTCACCAAAGTTCTCACCACCCCAGATATCCATTGCTGCATCGTATTTTCCAAGATGGTTGAACCAGGCCTTGTCAATTACAAAAAGTCCTCCTGCAATAATAGGAGTCCTATTGGGAAGGAAAAGAAATATGTGGAGCATTTTGCAAAAGAAAAAAACCCAAACAAACAAAAACATTGCATTCAGAAACACACAGAAACACAGATTAAAAACATGTATTTTTGTGAACTGTAAATTGTCAAGATACACAGCTGTTTCATTTTCAGGCATACCCACAAAAAATATCCTGGAAATAACACATTTCTCATTATTGCTTTCAGTACAAAATGAGCAATGGAGGAAAGTGTGGTCCTGCCTTTTATATACAGTCTGTGTTTATGTACCTACCAGTAGGGTGGTATAATTTTTTTGAGTGTTACACTAAGGTAAAAAGTAAAGGTTGTCCCCTGACATTAAGTCCAGTCATGCCCGACTCTGGGGTATGGTGCTCATTTCCATTTTTAAGCCAAAGTGCCAGCGTTCTCTGTAGACACCTCCAAGGTCATGTGGCCAGGATGACTGCATGGAGCACCATTACATTCCCGCCGGAACGGTACCTATTGATCTACTCACATTTGCATGTTTTCGAACTGATAGGTTGGCAGAAGCTGGGGCTGACAGTGGAAGCTCATGCCACTCCCTAGATTCGAACCTGTGACCTTTTGGTCAACAAGTTTAGCAGCTCAGTGGTTTAACCCACTGCGCCACCAGGGGCTCCAAGTGTTACACTAGGACTTTGGAAAATAAAGGTTTGAATTCCCTTCCATGGAAACCTATTGGGTGACTTTGGGCAAGGTACACCTCTGCTTAATAAATCTTGCAAAGAAAAACCTAAGATAGATCATTAGACTCAACCTGAAGGCACATAACCCACACAACTTGGAGGTGCTGGTGATTAATATACAAAGAACAGGGTACAGTGAATCACTATGAGTACTGAAGATAAGGAAATGGGTGAGAAGGTGGGGGTTTTCTCCAGCTCATGAAGGACAGAGGTAGATTAAACAGCAAGTTAACTCACTCCTAAATAAAAGAGAGGAAATGATATGTGTTTGTGTAGCTGTATATGCATATGTGTGTGATACAAATGGATATATTTGTTTCTTCAAATCTCCTTGGGAGGCTGCTATTATTATTATTATTATTATTATTATTATTATTATTATTATTATTTTACTGACACAAAACACACTATGTCACAGCAAACGATCTATATATGCTGGATTCCATATCACAAAATCACAAGTCGAACACTTCCCAAGTGTCTAGGACTGTGTGATGCATTTTCGAATGATGTGCAGAGTTCCAAGTAAGGTGGCCTTTTGTAGTTGACAAATCATGATTTTGTCAATGTTTATTGTTTCCAAATGCCAGCTGAGATCTTTTGGCACAGCACCCAGTGTGCCGATGATCACTGGGACCACCTGTACTGGTTTATGCCAGAGCCTTTGCAGTTCGATTTTGAGGTCCTGATAACGACTGCATTTTTCATGTTGTTTTTCCTCAATGCAACTGTCACCCATTATGGCGACATCAATAATCCAAACTTTTTTCTTTTCCACAATCATGATGTCTGCCGTATTGTGTTCCAAAACTTTGTCAGTCTGGATTTGAAAGTCCCACAGTATTTTTGCGTGTTCATTTTCTACTACCTTTGTAGGTTTATGATCCTACCAGTTCTTTACTACTGGCAGGTGGTACTTGTGACATAAGTTCCAATGAATCATTTGGGCCACAGAGTTGTGCCTCTGTCTGTAGTCCATTTGTGCAATTTTCTTGCAGCAGCTGAAGGTATGATCAATGGTTTAATCAGCTTCCTTGCAGAGTCTGCATTTTGGGTCATCAGCTGATTTTTCAATTCTGGCCTTAATTGCATTTGTTCTGATGGCTTGCACCTGGGCTGCAAGAATCAGGCCTTCTGTCTCCTTCTTCAGGGTTCCATTCGTGAGCCATCCCCCTGATGGGTGCCACCTTCTCATGGTGATGGGGAGAGGGCTTAACTGCTCCAAGGAGCTGGCAAGCTGGCTGGGATTTCTGGGAGTTGGAGTCTAAAACTCTTGGAGGATCAATGGTTGAGAACCACTGCTACATATTTGTTCTTCTTTTTAATAGTTCCCTTTTAACTACTTTTACTTTTATTGCAACTTTAATTATATTTTATATTAGGTAATTTTAATTCCTTCACTGAAAGGATGGACTTTATTATCTCTAGTCTGTTGTTTATTTCTCTATAATAATGTGCTGATAACAATTTTGTTTTATGTATAAATTCTCAGACAAGTTATACTAATAGAGAACACAGAATACTGCTGTATATTACTGTCTTGAGAGTCTATTTAGATTTACATACATATATTTCTGTTCTAAAGGTTTTCCTTTGACATTAAGTCCAGTCAGGTCCGATCCTGGGGTTGGTGCTCATCTCCATTTCTAAGCCAAATGTAAAAATTACCGACGTCTATTTTAAAAGCAGAATATAATCTGGAAACTGCAACTACATCACATATGTGGTTGTATATACTTTTATGTGTATCAGACTGGGAGTAAATGAAAGAGCTTAGATCTGTTTCTATCCACCGTGAATGTCAGCCATGAGAGAATTCAGGTCCACATCAAAAGAGTTCCTCATGTACTGAGGTTAATATCTGCATACAAGAGTTGTTTCCCATTATGTTTCTGGTCAAGTAAATACTCCAAAGCACCCTTGTTGCTTTTATGTCACTCACAACTCTCTCCCAGTATGCAATGAGTGGCTCATCAGCACAACTCCTACAGAGTCTGAAGTTTGCAGCCTTGATTGCAGGCTTCCAAACAAAAAGAAATACATTTAGCACTTGGGGGTTATTTACATGACATTGTTTCGCTGGGGCTCTCTACCTAGTTTTATCCTAATAGAAAATCTCATTTTGAAGAGTGAACAAAGAAAAAGCTCTTTAAAAAGCTCTTTGTGTGTAGCTCAATTTTGATTTCACAACAATGATCTCCCCAATACTCACCCTTCCCTTAGGTCCCTTTTAGATTAACAGAAAATAAAAATAAAGAAGTGACGCTGAGTGTGATGAGATGCAAAGTCTGTGCTGCAAGCTTTGCCATGCCATTTTTACTAAGCACATCCTGTCTCTCTCAGCAATTTGACTCTTGCCATGACGAGATATTTCATTTAGTCCTTCCAATGATAGCATTGCACAGCCTTCACAAGGCTGTTGGATAGCAAGTTCTAGTAGTCCTAGCTAACAAGCCAGTAGTGAGGAATACTTAGGAAATCCCTCGTAGCTTGAGGATGATGGTCCTCCAAGTGGAGTGTCTTGGCGGTGGGTTCTTGGGTGGCTGTGGAGCCCTATTCTTGATCTGCATGCTCTTCCTCAGTGACGACATCGGTTTCCAGGTGGAAGGCGGTCCTGGTCAGGGTTGGTTTGATGCGCCTTCCTCTTGGCATGTTTCTCCCTTTCACCCTCCATTCATGCCTCTTCAAATTCTGCAGCACTGAATTTCACCTCCAGTTAGAGCGCTCAAGGGCCAGGGCTTCCCAGTCCTCAGTGTCTATGCCACAGTTTTTGAGATTGGCTTTAGGCCATCCTTACATATCTTTTCCTGTCCACCAACATTCCATTTCTCATTCTTGAGTTCGGACTAGAGTAACTGCTTTGGGAGATGGTGATCGGGCATCATACATGGCCAGTCCAGCGGAGTTGATGGTGGAGGAGCATTGCTTCAATGCTGGTCGTCTTTGTTTCTTCCAGCACACTGACATTTTTCCACCTGTCTTCCCAAGAGATTTGCAGGATTTTCAGAGCCAGCACTGATGGAATAGTTGCAGGAGTTGCGTATGACATCTGTAGACAGTCCATGTTTCACAGGCATATAGCAAGGTTGGGAGAACAATGGCTTTATAAAAAGCACCTTGGTATCCCTATGGATGTCCCAGTCCTCAAACACTCTCTGCTTCATTCGGAAAAATGCTGCACTCACAGAGCTCAGCCAGTGTTGTATTTCAGTGGCATTGTTAACTTTTGTGGAGAGGTGGCTGCCAAGGTAGCGGAAATGGTCAACGTTTTCTAACGTTACACCATTAAGCTGTATTTCTGGCATTGCAGAGGGATTGGCTGGTAAGTGAGGAATATTGAGGTTATAGTCCATCAACATCCAAATGCTTGCAGAATTTTCACCCCACTTTACAACAAGTTAGAAAATATGGTACAGTGGTTTTGGTGTTGGACTGGTACATCAGAAGATCATGGTTTGAACTCCCATTCAGCTATGATAACCCACTGAGTAGGTTTTTGGCAAGTGTTGCCCTCTCAGTGTCAGCCATGGCAACTCTGTTTGAAATAGTCTTATCAAGGTAATCATAGCATACAGTTGACAAAAATGTGGAGATTCCATGAAGCAAACAAAAGATCCTTGCTCAAAATGGAATGCAGAAGAGTAGATATGCCCCTTGCAAGCATTCCTAAAGTCCTCCCAGTGTGTTGAAGTGTTTCTGTTCTGAAATCAGGTCCTTCAGATTGAGTCCCAATGGGTGATTATGTATCATCAAGCACATATATTTCCCCTCTCTTTATCAGTTATTGAAGGTAACATTAGATCTGAACATGCCCACTGTTTTTGGCTACTGTTTGATGGGTTGGTATTACGGTGTTTGTTGTTTGGTTTTATTGTTTTAATTACTGAAATGCAATTGTATTTTAATTGTGCTATTTATTTTCTGTTTTTGCTGGATGTAGTCCCCATGTAAGCCACCCGAGTCTCTTCAGGGAGATGGTGGCAGGGTATAAGAATAAAGTTGTTGTTGTTGTTATTGTTGCTGTTGTTTGAAACACAATTAGATTAGTATACAGCAAACAAGATCACACGTTGGACACTTCCCAAGTGTCTAGGATGATGTGATGTATCAGTAAATAATGCATGCAGATCCCAGTAGGGTGGTCCTTTGTGGCTGACATGGTAATTTTGTCAGTGCCGATTGTGTTTAAGTGTAGGCCAAGGTCTTTAGGCACTGCATCCAGTGTGCCAATCACCACTGGGACCACTTTGACTGGCTTGTGCCAGAGTCTTTGCAGTTCGATCATATTGTGTCAGCTTTTCCAGTTGTTTCTCTTCAATCCTGCTGTCGTCTGGGATTGCAACATCAACAATCCATATTTGGATGATGATGATGATGATGATTATTATTATTATTATTATCAGCAATCAGAAGCCTGATTGCAACACCTGTGAAACAATGGTTAAATGTGTGCATTTAGGATAGAATCAGAAAATACTTCCATTGTGTTTTTGTCCACCATTCTTAGACATTTTCTCCATATACCATTAGCTCTCATCCACAGTTTTATCAAGAAAGCTCCAGTAGTCCCCTCCCTATCTCAAAGTACTGTCACTTACTTGATTGGCTCTGTGGGGTCTGTCCTTTTTGCCTTCTGCTTTGGAGAAAGTTGTTCCCACTTAAAGTGAAGACTCCAGTCAAACCCTGAGCATAGAGTGAATAGCGAGCACAATGAGATTAGAAATACGCGTACTACAGCCATGTTGTAATCATTATGAGGTTTCAGTTGAAATCATGATATTTAAAGCATGGAAAATTTAGTTTCCTGGATTGCACTAGCTCAAGTGGCTTGAAGATTCCAAGAGTTGTAGCCCCAAAGTAACCTTTTAAAGCTTTGAACATTACAATCATTACAATAATTTACCAATTCAACCTGAATGTTAGACTATCAAGGATAGATTCCAAACTGCACTTTAAGTGAAGCACATGAGTTATTGAAAATATCCACTTTGTGAATTTTGTCTCTTTAGTAATCCATGGATTTATTAAATATAGAATTAGGATTTCTGAATTAGCTTCCAAATGGTACTGAGTATATAGTGCTCAGTTTATCTTTGAGTCTTCAGCTGAATCCAGCAAAAGTGGGCAACTTATATCCTCCACATGTTGCAGGACTGCAGCTCCAACAATCTCTCCTCTTGACTATGTTTCCTAGTGCTCAGTACCCAGGTCTTATTGTCAAATATGAAAATATGTGGTGATGGAGAAATTAGGGAGCTCTCAATCAATTAGCAAATGATTCCTAAAAAAATCCAATCGTTTTTACAAAATTAAAAAGATCTTAAACTTTCAGATAATCAATATCTCAGATTAGTCTGAAATACAGACATTTCAGACACATGTCAATATTTTACTTTTTTTATATATCCAAACTGAAAACAAAGCAGGAAGTTTTTCATTCAGTCCTAGTTTTCTGTTTCATCTAAACCAGTAAGCTATAGCGGTCACATTCAGAAAAAGGCATGATATCAAAGTGCAGACTTTAATGTTTGGATGAAATAGGAGACTTATGATTAGTGAAAGAACAAGAAAGGGTTTGTTTTAAGATAACATGAAGGGAAGAGAAAAGTAACTATACATATGCTCTCAGGCTCATTCATACTTTTGCTTCTCGAGACAATAAGTTGACAATCTAAATACAGGCACTGAATTTGATCATATACTTGCCTAAACAGTCAGCTGTCTACAGTTGACTGCAGACTCACCTCCTCTCAGATCGGAAGAAGCAGCCACATAAGCAAACGTGTCCAAGTTGATGATGTCAATAACTGGACTCACCACATGGGTTGGATCCTGGTAACAATGACAAAAATGAGATTTTGAGAATGAGAATTTGATTCCATTGCTACAGAGCAGCAGAAAAAAAGCTTGCCCCCTCCTCAGTGTGATATCCTTTCAAATATTTAAACATGACTGTCATGTCTCCTCTCAGACTTCTTTTCTCCAGGCTAAACATACCCAACTCCTTAAGCTCATAGGGTTTGGCTTCATTTTAGCCACCCTTCTCTGGACATGTTCCAGCTTGCAAATATCCTTCTTGAATTGTGGTGTCCAGCACTGGACACAGTGTTCCAGGTGAGGTATGACCAGAGCAAAATAAGAGTGGGATAATCACTTACCTCAATTATACTCCTAGTGATGCAGACCAGAATTGTGTTGACTTTTTTTAGCTGTCACATCACACTGTTGACTCATGTTCAGTTTGTTGTTTAAGATTTCTAGATCCTTTTTATATGGACTATTTTCAAGCCAGGTGTCACCAATCCTAGATCTGTGCATTTCATTTTTATTGCCAGCATGTAATACTGTACATTTTTCCCTGTTGAAATTCATTTTGTTCATTTTGGTCCAGCTGTCTAATTTGTTAAGGTTATTTTGGATTCTTATCCTATCCTCTGTGGTATTAGCAACTCTTCCCAATTTGGTGTCATCTGCAGATGTGATAATCATGCCTTCTATTCTGTCATCCAATTACACAGTGACAATCAAAGGAAACATCGGAAGTAGCCTTATACCATGTAAAGATTTATCCATGCAGCTCATTATTGCATATTCTGGCTAACAGCAAATCCCTGTGGTCTTATAGAGTGATTCATCCCTACAAATACTACATATTTTCCATTAAAGGTGAAAATGTCTGGCACCGAACTTGTGGCCTTCAGCTTGCAAGTGATGTGCTTACTAGTCAATTCCATACAATGATGGAGAACTTAATTCATATGACTTGTGGGCAATATCGATACACTATTACTTCCATCATTCTTCATCCTAGCCCAGTCTTGGTGGTGCCCATGCAACCCAGCAAGGCTGGTCAGGAGAGGGGAAGCATGTCCCTAGCCCTGCCTTAAAGTTTGGCAGAAGAGACTGAAAACAAGTCCAGGGTTGCCCAATAGAAGCACAATGCCTCTTCTTACTTCAATCATGTCTCCTTTTAAACTGAACTTGGAGAAAATCAAACCAGGACTATATTTTCAAAACATATTGCACTTCTGTATTTTATGAGCATTTTCACTGTGGCTAAGCAATAAAAAAAATCACCAGACTACACACTTTCATTATTGCAATACTGTTTGGGATTCTTTCCTGCCACTCTATTTTCTTTTTCAAAACATTTACCTCTTCTTCTTTACCCTTATTCTCATAAATCCTGTGTGTGCTTAACACTGTTAAATGTGACAGATTGTGGAAACAGCATGATATACTTTCTATCATCACATCATACATTGTGTGACATCATTGGCATCATCAAGTAAGGTGCTATAGCCAATCGGATCGTACGGCAATGAAAGAAAATAATGGCAAATGTTATAAAAACATGGCAATGAGATAAGCTATTCTGGCTCTGAAGATGTCAAAAATGTCAACAGTGATTTTAAAGAATTCAATATAATTAGGCAAGATGGCCTTTAGATGTTACTGGACTGTAAGTCCTTTTAGCCCTAGCCTCATGATTCGCACCCCAAGTGTAGGCCTATGCCTTTTTAGTAGGGTGGTTAAACTAGGAAGAAAAATTAACCCCCCCCCCCCAAAGGATTCAATGAATAAGAACTAAGTCAGCCTAAAATGAACCATAAAGCATCATTTCCAGTTCACAGTAAAAATAATCATTACTGCATAATTCCAAGAAACAAGGAAGGAGCATTTTTTACTCTCAATCTTGTCTTAAGTTGATAGCAATTTGCCTTTGTGTCTTCATCCCCCTGGCTGGCGAGAAGCCCTCTCTCAAAACCAGCTACCATCACTGTAGACCCTGAGCAAGAAAAAAATGACCAGCATCTGTTGAAGTAATCTCCCCTCTCACGTTGCCATCTCCCTTTCCTTATGTTCTGTTCAACATCTTTATTAATGACTTAGATTAAGAGTTAGAAGGCATGATCATAAAGTTTGCAGATGACAGCAAATTGGAAGAGATAGCCAATACTCCAGAATACAGGAGCAGAATTCAAAATGATCTAAACAGATTAGAGAGATCGGCCAAAAATAAGAAAGTGAACTTCACCAGAGACAAATGCAAGATATTCCACTTAGGTAGAAAAAATAAAATGCAAAAATACAGAATTGGGGATGTCTGTCTCAACAGCAGCATGTGTGAAAAAGAGCTTGGAGTCTTTGTGGACAACAAGTTAAATATGAGCCAACAATGTCATACGACAGCTAAAAAGGCCAACAGGATTTTGGCCTGCATAAATAGGAGTATAGTGTCTAGATCCAGGGATAGACCCCTCTATTCTGCCTTGGTCAGACCACACCTGGAATACTGTGTCCAATTCTGGGCACTGCAATTGAAGGGAGATGTTGGTAAGCTGGAATATGTCCAGAGGAGGGTTACTAAAGTGATCAAGGATCTGGAGAACAAATTTGGCCTGCAGAAGAGAAGTCCAAGAGGAGACATGATAGCCATGTATAAATATGTGAGGGGAAGTCATAGGGAGGGGGGAGCAAGCTTGTTTTCTGCTGCCCTGGGACTAGGATGCGGAACAATGGCTTCGAACTACAGAAAAGGAGATTCCACCTGAACATGAGGAAGAACTTCCTAACTGTGAGAGCTGTTCAGCAGCGGAAGTCTCTACCCCAGAGTGTGGTGAAGGCTCCTTCTTTGGAGGTTTTTAAACAGAGGATGGATGGCCATCTGTCAGAGGTGTTTTGAATGTGATTTTCCTGCTTCTTGGGAGGGGGTTGGATTGGATGGCCCATGAGGTCTCTTCCAACTCTATGATTCTATGATTCCAGGGCAGAGAGCTCTCACAGTTAGGAAGTTTTTCCAAATGTTCAGGTGGAATCTCCTTTCCTATAGTTTGAGGCCATTGTGGTTTGACAAGGCAGAATAGAGGGGTAGCATGACTTCCCTGAATCTAGACACTATACTCCTATTTATGCAGGCCACAATCCCACTGGCTTTTTTGCTGCCACATGACATTGTTGGCTCATGTTTAACTTGTTGTCCATAATGCCACAGCATTGAACCATAGCAGTCAAAGTGGTATTAAATTGCATTAATTCTATAGTGCAGATCCACAAAAGTCATTATTCCAAGTTGGTTATCTAGTAGGGGTGGGCTGCTATGCTGTTAATCTTTGTTTATTGTGTTCATCCCTGAGCTTTCATTACTTTGAGATTCACTTGGATTGTAATCTATTGCAGAGATGGACAATTTCTAGCTCTTCAGATATTGCTGAACTCAACTCCTTTATGCTTTAGTTAAGGTGAAAGATGATGACAAGAGTTACAAGCCAACAATATCAGTGAAGATGCTAATTGCCCACCCCTGCTCTACTGTTCAGAAAGATATTCCTCAGATAGCTAATTATAAAGAGGTGGATGTAGTGAAGACAGAAGAGATCACTTACATGTTGCCCTGAACTTTTGCAATGAAATGACTTCGAAATTTCAATCCCATGACCTCCTTTTAATGAGTGATGACTCTGTTGCCTTTACTATTTTCCACTGTTAAATATATGGCAGTTTCTGTGTGATATTTAATATTGCACAGTATGCCATCGTTCATTAATTTTGCCAGACATTAATCCAAAGCTTGTGAGTCTAATTATTTTTTGTTGGATCTTGTTTGCTCCTTTGTCTATCTCTAGCCTTTAACTTCTCCAATCATCTTTTTTGTAGGCTGATCTTGGGCAAAATCCAAAACTTGCAAACCTTTTCTGTATCACTGTAGACCTATCTGGACAGTCTGGTCTTGCTAAAATACCTGAAATATTCAGAACACTTTGTTAGATACACACCTGATTTTCACAGAAGTTCATGTGCTCAGTTTTTAACAATTGAGCATGTATGGGCCTCTACACCAGTACAACTACAAAGACTTCGACAATTCAAAGAGTCATGAACCCTGTATGGGCAGAGTCCTCCATCACATGGACATCTGTAGATTAAAAACAGCCACTCCTAGGAAACTCTTTAATGGCTTTTGTTAAATAATGATTGGAATCATGGGCTACATGTGAATTTAGGGTATCAGTGTGGCTCTAGTGACCCCAATTGAAGCCCCCCTCCCTTTTTACAAAAAACAACTAACTTCCTACTGCACTAAAATTATAGAGAATTATGTTTTGTGGGGTTTCTCACTCAGAAGCATGGAGAACCTTTCCTCTCACCCCCCAAAAACAGCTCAAAAGGTAATCTTGCATAATGCTTCATCCCATTTCATTTTACCACATTTCCTCTTCAACTTGCTTATGTTTGGGGTTGTTCCCCTCTCCCTTTCCAATAAGTCCTGTATGACAGGAATTGAATATGAACATGTTTTGAGTGAGAAATCCACTGACCTTTTTAGTACAACAACCAGACATATATCTTTCTCATCTAAAGCTATAAATGTTCTCTTAAACATCCATTTACTTATTTAGTTGATTTATATTCTGCCTGTCTCCCAATATGGGGTCCAAAGCAGCTTATAATAAATGGGTAAAACAATATGAACTAAAAATTATAAAAGCGTTTAACAATGCTGTTATATTTTAGCTACATCCACTGCACATCCTTCTAGCTCAGGCATGGGCAAACTGCAGTCCTCCAGGTGTTTTGGACTTCAACTCCCACAATTCCTAACAGCCTACTGGCTGTTAGAAATTGTGAGAGTTGGAAGTCCAAAAGACCTGGAAGGTGAAAGTTTACCCATGCTTGTTCTAGTCCAACCAATTAAAGGCCTGTCTATTTCAGTTATTCAAGATTAAAGCCACATTCGGTCATTTGAAAATTGTCTTACCTTATAATAAAAAGGGAAAACAAGCTAAAGCCAATAAAGCTCTACCCAGCAATGCTATACAGCAGGGATCCCC